GGGGGCGGCCAGGGCCCCGCGTCAGAGGGCTCTTTCCAGACCAGCCTGAAGCCTTGGGCACCCCTCAGCGATTCGGAGGTGTATTTGGCATCCCTAGGTGAGTGTCTGGCTTGCCTAGGAGGCTGCCAACAGAAACAGGCCTGTGGCAGACAACCAGGGTGGCAGAAGTGGCTTTTTAAGCTTTCATTTCTGCTGGAGCGTCCCTCTTGCCTCAGCCACCGTTGTAGTTGTTTCACAGTGCTCTGAGTTCTTAGCATCGGATCAAGCGTGCCACAGCAACAAGGCATAAATTACTCCTCTGGTATTAATTACTGCTGCAGTTCCAGCTTGTTCAGAAGACACCAGCAGATTAATTTTTACAAGCAGGCTTCAGACTAGAGCCGCGTCTGTTTTCTCAGAGCCAGGATGAAAGCATAACACTAGCTCAAAGTTTCTCGTATGTATGCTGACTAAGGCAGTAGAAATAAACCCATTCTGTGTTTGTACCTGGCTGGGATGAGTTGCTGCAAATTCACAGCATCTGCCTGGATGTTTGGACAGGATAATTGCAAACCTGCTGAATTGCTGGAGCAGCACAAGGCAACCTCCAGAAAACTCAAAAAGTGGGCCACAGCGTTGTGAACTAGCCTGATTCAACTACTGACTGATAGGCTTTTTGGTAAAAAGCGTGATTATGAGTCAATACCTGACCCAGCTGAAGGAGGAAGGGGATTATAACGGGATGTTGCGAGCAGAGTTAGTGAAACTTGCTTTCTTGTAGCTTTGCCTTTTGTTGGATTATGCTGTGTCTTTGCCTCCTCACAGAGAGAAGGCTGAGGAGAATCAAAGGCTTGTCGCAGGAGGTGACCTCCAAGGACATGCTGCGCACGCTCTCCCAGGCTAAGAAGGAATGCTGGGACAGGTTCCTGCAGGAGAAGTTCGAGTCTGAACTTTACGTGGAGGGACACGACTCCGATGAGAGGTAAGAAGCCAGTCGCTGGGCAGGGAGTGCCACTTCCCTGGCTGATTTAAACGAGAGCCCTTCTCTGCAGCGTAGTTCTTCCTGAGCTGACACTGCTCATGGTCGCTTCTAGCTGAAGAGAAGATGATTCTTCTTCCATGAAGAAAATCTACTTAAGCTAGTTTGGGAGTTTAAATATGAGAAATGGTCCCTGGTTGTAGGGAGTTTTTAGTTCCTTTCTTTGACTGGTTAACTTCAATGTGAATTATATTTAAAAACAAGCTTTCATAGACGTATGTGCTCTCCCTACTGTTTTTAAAGGCTGGAGATGTTACCTGTGAAAGAATTCTCCTCCCTAGAATTTGACTGTGACATTAGAGGTCGCTCCCTCATGGTGCCAGAGTATTTGATTCTCACCCACCAACGTAATTAAACAAGCCTTAACTTTTAAGCACACAGATAATTTCCAGGACGTTACTGAGTGAAATTACACTCTTGTGACAGAGCAAGTTAATTGTGTTGTGGCAGCCTTGAATGGCTGGGATCACGCTGCTATAAGATGAGAACACACGCGTACATTTAAGAAGTACAAAATTAAACTTTTAGGACTACAGCCAGCGTTCAGACAAAGATGGGGCAGATCAGCTCTGGTCAGAGCAGCGTCAGTGAGGCAGCTGCAGGGCGCTGATCCTGCTGGTGTATATTTCTAAACACCCACAGAAGCCACGGCATGGTTAGCGTCCTGGAACGGACTTGTGCTGCCTCTTCCTTCTCTCATCTTCTGCTGTCATTAGCGGTCACACGTTTTTATCTGCGTTTCTTGATTTGTGTTCCCTTCCCCCCTCTATTTCCCGACCTGCAGCACAGCCAGGCAGCTGCAGGGATGGTTTCTTTGGGTTAACACTAGTGGTTTTATTTCTGGCCCAGAAAGCTGGAAGCGGAGTTGTAGTCTTTGGCTGCAGAGACAGAGCAGTGCTTCAGGAACCGAAGGCTGATGTACCTGCTAGGCTTTCTTTTCATTAAGATCAGCACGTGAAACTTGTCCAACCATAGTTTAAAAAGCCCAACTACAGCAGAACGTCTTTGTAGAATCAAAGATTCTGCTTTCTCCTGTGGCACATGGATCAATCTCGTGACAGATCTTACCCACGGCAACAAGGACGCCCGCAGAGGCACGAGGAATGCCCGTGGAGGATTTTCCTGATGCTTTTCTCACGCGTTCCTGCGAGGCTTTGCTGCTCCCTCATTTCACGTTGTGTCTTTCCTTCCCCTCAGCACGCTGGAACACCTGAAGCGGTGGCTGCAACCTGACAAAGTGGCGATCAGCACCGAGGAGGTGCAGTACCTCATCCCTCCGGACCCTCAGCCGGAAAAGCAGGAGGCCGAGGAGGAGCCTCCGGCCGCGGAGCAGTGAGAGGCGCCGGCTGCCCCGCGGAGTCACCTCTCGCCCCAGCCCTGCTCGAGGGGTATCCAGCAGCGGGTGGTAACGGGGGGGTGGGGGGAAAAGTGCCAACTGCCAGTGGTTTAAAAACCAACAAAACACCTGACACAAAACAAAGGAACGGCTCTGGAGCTCCGGAGACAGGGCCTGGCGTTTGGGCTGGGCAAGAGCTCCGACGCAGCGTTTGCAGAACTGAAATCTCACTTTGATCTTCTCCCAGCCTGGATGGGATTTGTCTGCAATTCATCAGATGATACCAGACAAAAAAACCCAACACACAGTTTTCCAGAAGCATCAGAGAACACAACGGTCTAGAATAGAACAGATAAAACCACCGAATCAGTTTTCCTTCCTGTCTTGTACCATTTTATTACTCAGTTGGGCATTTTTTTTTTCCTTTCCTCCAAAGTCCACTGCGGTGTGTTCTCCAGGTCTTCCCTCAACCCTGAGCAGGCCCCGAGCTGTGCCTGCAGGAAGGCAGCTGGTTTTCCCCTCCCTGAATTTGACACCCTAAAGGAAGCTGTTGTTGCAGACTGTAACTGTGTGACACACCCTCCCACAACACCTCTCCATGACAGAATGGGCTGGAGAGGGAATACTTTTTTCTTCTGCTGGTCCTTACACACCTGTCCTTTATCTCCTTCCTTATTCTGTACTGGGAAACCAGGAGCAATTACCAGGGAGGCTACAAATAACTCGTTTTCCTCACAACCTCACGTAGAATTCCCTGACTTTAAATATGCTCTAGTATAGAATTGTTTATTGCCCCGTTTAACTTTGCAGAGGGTCATTTCCGGTTACTCGCCGAGGAGTCTGTCCTCGCGTATAAACCAGGTTTTGTTTAACCCAGGCTCTCTGTCTTGGCGTTGACACGGAGGGTCGGTAGAGGGAAGCAGCCCACATCTGCTGCTGGATGCAGCTCGCTAAGACAGATTGTCGGGGCGGCTCTAGTCGGTGATGCGCGCTGGATTCGTACCGCGTTCCTTGTGTATCTGTATGGAAAATACATTTTTAAAAGTAGCTTCTTGACAGACCTTCTTTGTTTCCCCTCTCTCTACAATTACAAACGGTGCCATTGCCTCCCTGACAGCCGGTGTTCTCTCGGTGCTGCTTCGGCGCCGTGACTCAGTGTTTGCTCCCACGAGCAGCGTTATCAGCCCGACTCCCCGCGCCGCGTCACGCTCCCAGCTCCCCGTCAGAACAAACACTCTTTTCTCACGCTTGAGAAATCCAGTGAATCACCTGGAGGTCGGCGATACAAGACTTGCCAGTCTGCTCTCTTGTTGGAGGGTGGGTTTTGTCATCTTTTAAACGGCCCTTTTAATTTATCTCTAAAGACAAGTCTGCTTTCCCACGGTGCAGATTCCAGGCTGTAAACCTCTCACGTGGGACGTGAAGCCGTGACAAAGCTGCTTCTGAGCATTTACCAGAACAGCACGTGTGGAGAGAGATGCCGTCCCTCCGTGTGTGCCCAGGCTATTCCACAGCCAATACTTTTCCTTGTGATTAGCAACGACCATGAAGATGCTTTATATTATTTTGTCTGTGCCCGTTAAAGAATAGAAAGAAATTTATTCAGAGTAACTGTACCAAAACACGTCTGGTCCCAGGTCTGCACCCCCTAGCACTTCCTCCTGAGGAGGGACCTTAGTGAGAAATGAAACAGAGCAACTCCCGACACAGCTCAGAAGCCCAAGGAAAAGGGTCTGGGCAGGAGATGTCACCCAAAGCCATCCTGCTGCTCTGCAGGCTCACGCCCTCCAACCCAGCTGGGCTGGGAACCGTAGGACCAAAAGGCTCATCTGTCCTCCGGAGAGCAAACAAGAGATTCAAGAAAAGCTGTTTTCTAAGCACATAAGCTGCTTTTTCTCTAGTTTCAAGCGACCCACGCTTTTGCTGTGTAGAAACACCCCTGAGTAGCGCAGGAAGGGGACGACGTCCCGTGACGGTGCCACAGGAGAGGCGCTTGGGGGAACAAACTGGGAGCTTGAGCATCGTCCCCCTTTGGGAACCGGCGCAGAAAACCAGAGCTGGGGGTGCTCTGCGCTGAAATCACCACAAAGCCACTGAGGGCGCCTCTGTTAAGACCCTGAAGAACTTCTTCACAGGCTCACTCAAATCATGAGCACAGGAGAAGCGCAAGGTGTCTGGGCAGTGCTGTTGCACGCGGTGGTGTTGCTACACACAAGGGCTTTACTTCAGGCTAACGTGGTTTATTCTAGGGAGGAGCGAGCTGTTCAGCTCCTGGCAATCAAACCAACTCTTGCTGGTACAAGCAGCCTTTTAACCAGGGATTTCTTTCGCTTGTGCAGCGACACCAGCCTTCCTCTACGTGGGACTAGCTGAGGAGATCCCCAGCCTGCACAGAGAGACGAGGCACTACCCACAGCACCGCAGAGAGGAAAGGAAAGCATCAGTAGGTGCCGACGGGGCCGCAGTGTCTGAAGGCACCGATTCTCCAGAGGGTTATACACAAGCAAAGACCTGCTGGCAAATATGGGAGGTGATTTTTCAGGTGTGAGAAACTAGTCATCACAAAATAAGTGTTACCCCAGCGCCAGGGGGTTACCGCTTCACTTATCCATTAATTCCTCCCTACACAGTCAAGAAACATGCCAACTCTGGACCTAATGGTCATTTGGTTGCTGCAGTCCTCTCCGATTCCCTGATTACTCCCCCAACTCACAGAAAAGGTGATGGGCTGCTTCCCTCTACCAACCTGGTGGCCAGGCAGCAAGGCACAGCACAGGGAAATCCAGGTGCAGGAGCCTGCAGGGATTGCTAAAAGCCACCCTGGTGATCAGGGCGTAAAGAAAAACGGGTGGAGCAGGGCTCTGTCCCCAGCACCCAGCGATTCGTCACTCTGCCCTGGCATCCAAATGCCATCCCGCATCTCAAACGGTGTTTTACGAGCCTGCTGCTCTCCTTATCAGATTGTTCTGCCTTTTAAAGTCAACAGCCGCTCTCAGCCAGACCGTGATGTGGAGACAAAGATGATTTTCTTCCTGTTGGTTATCTGGCAGGGATAAGCACTCGCCCCTGAAGTCAGATTTAATAACGCCGGCCCACGTCCCTCAAACTGAGGCAAACGAACAGCTTTCTCTCCCCAGAAATCAGGATTTTGCAGAACTTCTTAAGACCTGCCTGACGATTTCCATTCCTCTTACCCCCCCAAAAAATCCAGCTGATTACAATGGCGTTGATTATTCTTAATTTCCCCTTACCTAAGTAAGCTATGAAAGAAAAGATGAAGAGATCCTGTGTGTGGAATCAGAGGCTTCTGAGGGAAACGGGCAACGACCTGCTCTGGACCCAGCAGCCAGGTTCCCCGGCCACATCAAATAACGAGCAGCCCCGTTCCTACACCCCCCTTGTCACGGGCCGTGCAGTACTTAATACATCTGACTTCAAAGCAATGCCTGTGAAGGAGCAAAGATTTGGTTTGCCACCCACAGGAGAAACCAAAAATAAAAATTGCAAAGCCCAAATCTTTTCCCGAGGGGCAATAACCGCTCCCAAGCGGCTTTGTGACAGGGTGTTTCTGAACAGCTGAGAGCTTTCAGATGGCAACGTTTGTCCTGACACTTCCAATAACAGCTTGGGAACTGTATTTTAGCCCAGAGATGCTGTCTGTAGCTGGGGGAAAGTGGCTGCTTATTTTTTTTTCAGGACAGGTTTTGTGAACGCAGGATGGATTCCTGGATGCCCCTCGCCCTGCCGTAAATGACCCCAAACCACCGGAGAGGCTCCAGGGATGCAGCCACAACTTCTCCAGTCACCAGAGGCTGCTGTTATTGTTTGCACTCGAATCTCATCAGGAGTCCTACATTAGTAACTTCATCTTTCCACCGAAATCAATATCGAAGAGACACTTGTTTCCTCTTTTTAATAAGCCAACGCAGCCACGTTACACTAATAAATGCCCAATTAGGGCTAATTGCTCCCAAGCCCCTGTTTCTAAAGTCGTTATCCACGTATCAATCAGCCACACAGCAATTTGCTAAACCGGAAGTCGCTTCCAAAAGGAGAGGGCCCCAAGCAGAAAAGGAGATCCCCAGAACTTCCTTATGTGACAGCACCTGCCCTATAAACACACAGTTCTGGCAGAAAATGAACCAACAGCTCAACATCTCGGGAATGCACCCACCAGGAAAAATCCAGAGCAGAAGCTTGAGCATGGGTGATGCTGCTGGGAAAAAGAAGGATTTTTTAAATCTTCCCCGGCCTCAACTCACCTCCAGGCAGGCGCTCCCACAGACAGGCAGCTCTGGGGTTTGAAACTCTTGGTTTTGGGTAACCTCTCCTCACCCTACTCATAGAGTGGGGTGGGTGCAAGGGAGCTCTTCCATAGCAGCACCATAAGGCTGAGGAGATGGGAACCCCTCACCACCAAAGGCAGCTCTTCCCTCTCCCAATGTGCAGAGCAAACCTGGTTTGGTTTTTTCCCGCTATATAATTATTTGCCCAAGTTCTGTAAAGCACTTTAATCGCTATTTCTAGGTTTAGCAAAGTGCTGCAGCTCCAGCAGCCTGCTGGGCTCTGCAGAGCCATCAGACACAGCCGAGGCTGCCGCGACCTTTCGTACCTGCCTGAGGAACTCATTGCACCCACAGCTGCTCAGCTCCACAGAGGTTCAGCTCCAGGCTCCACTCGGGTTATCCGAGCTGCCTGCCCCCAGGCCTGTCTTAAAGACCTGCCCCTCCAGCCCCAGCTGCTGCTGAGCAGCAGGAAGCTCGTTCAGATAACTCCATCCACCTTCTGCAGCACAGGGCTGAGCTGAGCCCGGCCCATCCCCAGGCAGGCGCTGAATTTAAGAGGAACATTTTCAGTGACTTCAGTCACACGGATCATGCCTGCTCTGAATCCAAAAATGCTTTTCTTTGGAGAAAAACCCCTCGGATTGTGACTGGGTGATGTCCTGAGCCTGCACATCCAGCTCCCTTCAGCACTGAGACTTGCAACCCAAAGGGAGT